TATCCAAAACACTTTTGGGCAAAAAAACCCACATTATATCCCAAACACTTTTGGATAAATTATTCTAAAATGTTTCCATCACATAATAGGTTGCTTTTACCTGGAGTATATCATGATTGTTTAAATTGGCAGACTAATTAGAGTACGTAAGTTTAAAATGTATTTATTTCATATGTAAGATGATAATTAGCTTACAGTAGCCCCAAATCATGTATCACAATAAAAGGAAATAGAAAGGACAGAAATAACGTTAAAAAATAATATCTTTAGTTAGTGGTTCATTTATCCTTCTTTATTTCCTCTTGATTATTAATTAATGATGGTGGCACATTTTCCACATGCTAAAGGATTTTCTACAGGCCTTGGCCTGAGTTGCAAGATTAAAGCGAGACTCATCCCCCCAAAACAAGCAAACAAACAAACAAACAAACAACCCCACTGCCATCGAGTCAATTCCACCTTGTAAGAAAACTCTGGTGCAGGTGATTCAAATAACAAAGCAAATGTTACTAACATTATCAATGTCACGCTCACATCAAATTCAAGAATGGCTACAGGAGTTGACCATTTCCTGCATTAAAGACCAGTGATGAGAACACTGCCTAAAAGCAGGCAAGAAAGGTGGTGAGATAAAGCACCGAGAATGGAGGAAAGCTGTAGATTGAGAGCATCTGAGGAGGTTTGAAAGATCCCTTACCAGTTCCCGAGAGTTGTTGCCTATCAGTTATAGTTTCAGAGTCTTTCCTAGTCCAGGTCTGTTAAAAAGAGTGGAGAGGGGTCTTCCAGAGCTTGGGGATTTCATTGTCTCCCTCACCTCCCCGCCTCATTCTGATTTTTAACAAGTTATAAACGAAGCTGCTAACCATCATCTCTCTGTGCCTTCCTTTCTGTGAGATGGGATGCATGCGAAGCACGGGGCCCTGCTCACGTGCCCTGCTCACGTGCCCTGCTCGCGGACTTGAATGCTTAGGGTGACTTCTCTTGGACTCAGCATTCTTTCCCGTCTTACAAAGACATGATGTCCATACATTGTAAAACGTGAGACAATAACGCTTCGAGTGACTTAAAAAAAAAACTCTGCCCATACAGCTGAAGAAATGACATTGCTTAAGTACATCTTGTGAAGTTAAATGTGCATCAATGATCCATGACTGAGCATGCCATTGAACTTGCACATTTTCTATCTCCTATGCCTTTTATTTCCTTCTTTGGCAATTACTGTAAGTAGTGTGAAGCGTACGATTTCACTTTCAAACTCCCAACTTCTAAAAATTTTTTTTCCTTCCTGACATCATAATGTAGACTTGTAAAATCAGACAGTTGTTCTTAGAAATACTGAGCAATTCTCCTCAGACACGGAAAGACAATTATAAATGTCTGGGTTCTTTCCTTTTTTGTGGTGACTGCTTTTAGATGTGGAATAAAACCCCATTAAGCAGAGGCCATTATTATTGATGGTTAGTAGTCGGTTCCTGCCACATCTATAAAGTATCGTGCTTTTCTCTTTTTCTAAGAAAGGTTTTTTTAATTTTCACTCAATAAGTTTCCATTTTCTAAGTATTCTATTGAAAAGCATCAATAAAATATAAATATATTAAATTAAAACCTCAGAAGACAAAGGGACCATAAAATGTCATCTAATGAAATTCCCACTTTCAATAGATGAAAAACTGAAGCTATGAAAAAGTCAATAACTTACCCAAATATGTTGAAATTGTGTTTTTCCCCCTATGATTCCTTAGATGGCCGCCCATGTCCCGTCGTTCTCTGGGACTCATCTTTATCTACAACCAATAATGAGACTCATTCCTCGGTGAAGCTCACCTGGGGCATGTACCAGCAATCGCTGAAACAGAAGTGTTGGCAGAATGGCCGGGTACCCAAACCTGAATGGGGTTGTACTGAAATACATCACCATGAATGGTCCAAGATGGCACTCTTCGATTTTTTGTTACAGGTAAGCACTGCAAATGAAGTAAATAGTTATTTATGTAAGACTGACA